CTCTACAAGGTGCAAAGGCAGAGAAATATGTTTATTTTGTGGGTAGGATGGAACACAACACAGCTGAAAAACCAACTGTACTTTTTTCCTTTGCTATTTTCCGAAATTCAGAAAAAATGATGAGCTATATATAAGGCAGGCTGAACAATGTACCACCTCTTGGCTAAAAGGGCAGGTTAAAAACAAAACCAGCCATTTGTTTAGTTAGAGAATTTCTCAGAAGTTTCTGTGCCCCAAAAGGACTCTTCAGGGTGCTTGTGGCTACAGACAGGGTTTGCAGTCCTCAAGGCCAGTGAAAAGACCCCTCCCTTCCCTCAGATTTGTGAGGTAACTCCACTGTTTTCATAACAGCCACTTTGGAACTTTTGGAACTAAGAAAATCTTTGGACCTTGGGAACAAATAATATTTACATATACCTATTTTTGTAGAAGAATGGGGGGGGGGAGGGACATTCAGACTATAAACCCCTTGTTTTCTTTCAAGCTTATTAAGGCATGGAAGAATTGGATAATCTAGTGGTCTACAGCAACGGCCCCCAACCTTTTGGGCACCAGAACTGGTTCCGGGGAGAGAAGTTTTTCTGTGGATTGGAAGGGTGTGGTTTCATGTGCTCCCTGCATCTTGCTTTGCTAGTTTGTTCAAACTAGTTTCTGGCATGCTATGCCAGTGCCACAGACCAGAGGTTGGGGACCCCTGGACTACAGGCATCTTAATGGTGATCTGGATTTATGCAGCCCTGATAAGGCCAATCTAGTTTAATTCAGTATGCAGGGATTTACCCACCCCCAAGAAAAGCTTATAATCCAGTTGGTAAATTCTTTTAATGTAACCTCTGTATTCTCAGCTAAATAAGAATCATTAACTCTCGTAATTTTTTTAATCTTAGTCTTCATTCTCCAAAGGCTGGTTAAAGGTGGAGGGAAGGAAGGAATGTAAGACCATTCCACGTGCAGTAACTGCATGCAAATCCAGGCTATATGGATATTGCAGTGAATTTATGAAACTTAATTCTAAGAAAGGGTTTAAAACTCCAGTGTTTTATTTCACATGAGGTATAGGTGAATCACTACAACAATATTCATACAAGGAACTGATCCATAGAACCAGGGATAGGATTCGACCAGTATAACTACCAGTTCTGTTGCTCTGTGTCGCGCGAGTCGCACTATTGCAATTTACGACCTACTGAGCTGCCCGGACAGCTGAGCAGCACTGCATGCAAGTGCACAGCGGTTGGAAAAGCCCTTTTTTCCTGCTTTTTCAGCTGCAGCTGTGCAGCACAAAGCAGCTGAGGTTGAAAAAGCAGGAAATAAAGGTCAGGTAAGAGCCTGGGCAGGCAAGTGGGCCAAAACAGCAGCAGACACAGAACCAGTTCTATGTCTGCTGCTCTTCAGAGCAACTGGTTCTACAGAGGTGGACAGAACTGATAGAATCCCACCCCTGCATAGAACACCCCCCCAGAGTTCAATCTAATACGTTAAGAAACCCTTTCGGTGCAATTAGTTTATATTCAAAGAGGCAAATTCAGCAAATTGTTGAATGAACAAACCATGATTAATTTAAATAGAAAAGATATTGCATAAGGGTGGAATATCCTATCTTAGGAATTATTACTACAAGGAGATCAGGAGAGTTGAAACAATCTGAGATTTTGTAATTTTAATGGGTCTATGAGAGCTACATAAACATTAGATACAGATATTCCTCAATGTTTGACCAATCCCCAAAAGGAGACTCATGACCAGGACTGGAAGTTATGATAGTTGGGGCCCCTCCACAGTCATGTGACCAAGCTTTGGGCTCTTAGTAACACAGCCATATTTATTGCTGTATGCAAAATACTGCAGTCATGACCTTGTTCTATGACGGTTTTGCTGAAAACCTGCACTTTATTTTTGGCAAAACCATTCCTATAGCAAGTCATTTACTTAACAACTACAGTGTTTGCTTAATAACTACCACAAAAAACCTCATGTGACTAACCAGGAGGTATAGCTATAATGGACAGATTCTATTATAGTTACATGTTGAGGACTACTTGTAACGCTTATGTGTAATTACTATGATAACCTAGGTTTAAGAACTTGAGCAACATACTAAACCTAAAGTAATAGCAATCGCCACATTCACATAGTTCATAAACCCAAAGAACACAATCATGTTTTAGCCTGGAGTATTCTAAAAAAACCAAAAACAAACGTAGTCATTGGTGAATGAGGAAGCTTAATCCATAAATGTTGAAGTCCTTGAGTTTTGGGGATATGCATAAATCAAAGATTAAGTTTTTACCTGTAAGTCTAAAAACACATCTATAGTTGAACATTTCCTTTTTAACAAAGACCATGCTGCACCCATTTTGAGAGTTTTCCAAAGGGAGCGGGGAAGGGGAAACTCAGCCCATTTTATAGCTGCTAAAAATCCTTTTCCTTGTTGGACTTAAAGAGCCCCTTTAGCCTACAGGAGAGAAAAGCTTTTCCCATTGTAGGAATTAAGTTGTAACATAAACCAGTGTTTTCTCAACCTAGGCAGCTTTAAGATCTGTGGACTTCAACTCCCAGAATTTAAGTCTACACATCTCAAAGCTGCCACTGTTGAGAAATTATTGAATAAATACTGTGAAACATTTTGAAATGCATTAAACTGGCTGTCCCTTTAACAGAGACACACTAGCAGGCAATTGGAAAAATACCAGTTATAGAATCAGAGGAAGATGGATCAATAGAGATTTACAGGGCAGGGGCTGAGTTTCCCCTTAGCAAAACTAAACTTTTGTTAAATTTGCTATCTTCAGATGGATCCTCTAGAAATAACTAATCGCTTTTCAAGGAACAAATAGAATGCTGAATATTCTCGTCTTACTAAGAAGTTCTCACTGCAAATTTCCTTTGGGGCTGAACATCAAACTAGAGGACAGGGTAGGTCAAGACATCCACTTTCACAGGGTTGTTCATATTTACAATTGCTGCCTATTTGATATCAATTAATTCTTATCATAGTTTTGCATGTGGGTGGGGGGGTCTTGAACTCTATTCAGCTGCAAGTAAATTTTAGCAAACAAAAGCTCCCCCATTACTTATCTGTGCTGGAAGTTAAATATTTGATTTAAGCTACTGTTAAAATCATAAAAGCAGAAGCACTTTAGAAAAAAGGTTTGGAATTCTACAGGTGAGAAGTCACTTCTTCTAAATCATGGGCTCTACACAAAAAGGCTTCATGCACTTAAAAAAATTAGCAGGCATCATCAAAATTGCCATATTGACTTTTTTATCATATTCGGTGGATATCTTTACCTTCTGCCTGTCTGTTGACTTCCTTTCTTATAGTTGAACAGAACTATAAACTATCGTTTCATCATACCAGCATTCAAGGAAAGAACCCTAGTAATAAAGGAGAATATCTATAGCTCAGGCTAAAATGAGGAATCTTTGATGCTTTCTGAGCTTGGTAGCTTTCTTGTAGACGTTTCATTACCCAACTAGATAACATCAGTGCACTAATGATGTTAATTAGTTTGATAATGAAATACAATTCTGTAATGGAATCAATTCACAGGTAGTCCTTGACTTACAAGCAGTTCTTTAGTGACTGTCTGAAGTCACATGATTCAACTAACAACTGAAATGATTCACTTAACTATGATGAAGAGGTCATAAAAGGAGGCACAACTTACCTAACAAATGCCTTACATAGCAACAGAATTTTGGGCTTAATTGTAAATTGAAGATTACCTGTAGTTGAAATGTAATTATAGATATAATCCTTGTCAACCCACTTAGTTATATGCCTAGACTCCAAATATCAGCGAGCTATGGATCTCAGGCGCCATCATTTTACATACAGATAGACTTTGACTTACAACAATTCATTTAGTGACTGTTTGAAGTTACCATGGCACTGAAAAAGTGACTTACAACTTTTTCACACTAATGACCATTGCAGCATCTCCATGGTAATGGGATCAAAATTCAGACGCTTGGCAATTGACTTGTATTATGACGATTGCAGTGTCCTAGGGTCATGTGATCACTATTTGGGAACTTCTGACAGGCAAAGTCAATGGGAAAGCCGGATTCCCTTAACCTATGTTACTTAATAACTGAGGCACGAAGCAAAATTCACTTAACAACTGTCTCACTTTGTTGGGCTCAGTTGTGGTTGTAAGTCGAGGACTACCAACACATTCATTCACACTATCAACATTCACTAGACCCATTAAATTACAATCTAACCAATCACAGGTAATTTACAGGGCTGTAGAACCCCCAAATCTGTGGTTAATTTGTGACTGCTGGATCATCAAGTAAGATCATAATGTTAAGTGATCACACAGAAGTTCAGTTTCTCATGGGTAAGCATTTTGTAAAACTAAGCTAGTGTTAAATTTGTAGCAAAACTAGGTCTTCCATCTTCTGGCGTGTGAAGCCAGGTCAAGTAAGGAAAACTTCTAGAAGAGAATATATGTAGCTCAGGGTTGAACTGTGGAGTCTTCAGTGCTCTCTAAGCTTAGTTGTTTGCAGACATTTCATTAACTGTCTACGATATATTATCACAGATCAAATCTCACACTCGCTAATATTGATGACATTACTAATTGGGTAACAAAATATCCGTAAGCAAACAACTAAACTCAGAGAGCGCCAAGGACCTCACAGAAATTATGTGCATGGTTGTTTCGACGTTTCTGTGGAGCTTGTTTTCAAGTGGACACACAATGGGTTCCTCACTCAAAAGACTCTGAAGTCAAAAATATTAATTTTTAGTTCTCATGTAACTTCTACTATGGCATCCATCAGCTGGCAAAATATGGATTCTCAGCCTCAGTTTCCCCTCTTGTTTGTGCAAATTAGGGACAATATTTCTCTCCAGAGCAATGGAGAGAATCGAAAGTGTCATTAGCCTAAAAAGTGTGACAAATGCTTGGACAGTCACAAGTGCTATATCAGTCCCAAGCTACAGCCACTTTCAATTTTTTAAAATTTTTTTAGGAACCTGTACTTACTACTTTTGAGGTAACACAACAGACAGGTGTTGGAGAGGGTGGCTTGGCAGCACTCTGCCCCGGAGGCAGGCTAAATCTTTGGCCAGTATCTGGAGGAGAAGAGGGGGTGTGAATCCGTGTTTCTAGCCTTTCCGGTTCATGTCTGTAGCATTCAAGTGGAAATGCTGGCTGCTTGGTTCCCTGGGTGGGAGTTGACGGTGAAGAGGAAAGCCCAGACGCTAAAAATGAGATACAACAAACAGAGCAGGTTAGTCACCTCCACCTCACCACAGAGTGAATCATCCAGGTTTTTTAAAAAAAAAAAAACATCTTGCTCTCAACATGTTCCGAAGGTGGTTTTCTAAAAGGCAAGTGGACTTTCTTGGGCTTTTTTCTTTGAAAACGTTTCACTTCTTATGCTTTTTCCGAAAGGCAACCAGACTTTCTTTTTTCTTCGAACATTTCACTTGTCATCCAAGAAGCTTGAAAGAACTGAAGAAGCTTTTTGGATGAAAACATTTTCAAAGAAAAAACAAAGGAAGTCCAGTTGCCTTTTGGAAAAGCATCTTTGGGATAATCATGACATAGATGATTGCGAATCTCCCTATCTACTTGCTGTCCCCAGTTGGATTTTCACTTCATCCTAAGACCAACTGAACACATCACATCATGGTTTAGTGTGTCACGAGATTGCTTAGAAGGAAAATCTATTATGCTCTTTTCTTACAAACTTAATCAGCATAAACCTTGGTGAGGTGGGTGGCATACAAATTTAATAAAAAGAAAAGAGACTCTCTCTATTTCTCCAATAGTGGAAAAATTAGGAGATGTAGTTCAAGAGAGAGCCCATTCAGGAGCTGGTAGGTTTTAGACAAGCTGTTCCCTAAATGCCTTAGAGTCTTTGACTTACAACCATTCATTTAAGTTACACTGGCTCTGAAATAAATAAATAAATAAATAAATATATTCATTCATATTCTTAAGTTTTTGTGGGTACTTACATGTATGGTATTCAGCTTTGTTCGGGTATTTTCCCACGTCATTATAGTTGTGCTTTTAAAGTTGTAGCAATGTTTCGGCAGAATCTCATCTACCATCATCAGGCTTCTGTATTGTGTTAGTCTGCGAGTCAGACTTTCACAACCGTTTCTGTTTTAAATTTGGGGCTAGCCTACTGCTGTGCCAGAATGGTTTTTTCTTGATCCTGATTGGTTGGGAGTCTTGGTCTGTGTTTATTGGTCTTGGAGTTTGCTGCGTTCTGCTTGATTGGTGTTTCTAATATCTTCTGTCTGTTTTGTGGCTTTTTTTGTCTTGATTGGCTGGCAACATTGTGTTTCTGTATTGAAGGCCTTTAGTGCAGCTTGGCTCCGAGTAAATGGACGGCTATCATTTGTTAGGAAGCTAGGTTTCATCTGGGTACCTGGTTGGGGTAGGTTTGAGCTGGAGGTATCAGGGGGGATCTGTTTGTGCCCAGGTGTTTGCCTGGCTTGTGGTGTGGAGATTTTTTTGTTTGAGAGTGCAGGCTTCCAGATAATTGACAGTCTGGTGGAATCATCTCTTCTATTCATACTTTCAGGACGGCAATCGTTTACTCGGAGCCAAGTCGCACTAAAAGCCTCCAATACAGGAAGACAAAAAATGCTACAAAACAGACAGAAGATATTAGAAATTAGATGATTCCACCAGACTGTCAATCATTTGGAAGCCTGCACTCACAAACAAAAAAATCTCCACACCACTAGCCAGGCAAACACCTGGGCACAAACAGATCCCCCCTGATACCTCCAGCTCAAACCCACCCCAACCAGGCACCCAGATGAAACCTAGCTTCCTAACAAATGATAGCCATCCATTTACTCGGAGCCAAGCTGCACTAAAAGCCTCCAATACAGGAACACAACGTTGCCAGCCAATCAAGACACAAAAAAGCCACAAAACAGACAGAAGATATTAGAAACACCAATCAAGCAGAACACTTTGCTGTGTTTGCTCTCCAAGACCAATAAACACAGACCAAGACTCCCAACCAATCAGGATCAAGAAAAAACCATTCTGGCACAGCAGTAGGCTAGCCCCAAATTTAAAACAGAAAGGGCTGTGAAAGTCTGACTTACAGACTAACACAATACAGAAGCCTGATGATGGAAGATGAGATTCTGCCGAACATTGCTACAACTTTAAAAGCACAACTATAATGACGTGGGAAAATACCCAAACAAAGCTGAATACCATACATGTAAGTACCCGCGAAAACTTAAGGAAACACACACACACACACACACACACACAGAGAGAGAGAGAGAGAGAGAGAGAATCTTAAGTGACTGTTGCACATCCTTATGGGTCACAGGATCAAAATTCAGGTACCTGGCCATGGGCATGTATTTACAATGATTTCAGAATCCTGGAGTCAGCTGACCTTCCCAGCCAACTTCTAACAAGCAAAGTCAATGGGGGAAGCTGGACGTGCTCAATGGCCATATGATTTGGTTAACTACAGTGATTTCCTTAACCGTGGCAAAAAGGTCATAATTGTGGGTGTAACTCACTTAACCATCTTGCTTAGCAATAGAAATTTTGGTTTCAATTGTGGTAAGTCAAGGACCACTGGAGAGTACTTCTACAGAGGCAGATCCAGAATTATCTTGTTGGTGTTCCAACTCATGTGACTAACAATCTCCCTTGAAAAGTAAACTGCCCTCTTTCCTATTTTGCAGACGGCCTGTCTTAAACTCTGATAAGATTGACGTTGACTTTTCATTTGTGATCACAAGCAGACCAAATATTGGTTAACTTACAAAAAATATTCTTTTCAATGTTGCCCCCCTCCCCCTCTTGCCAATACAGTATCTAGCTTCCTAATTGTATTTATGGTGCCGCTGCTATCCAATGCCTTCATTTTGAACTGGCCTCTCTATTTTGGAATTAACAAACGTCTTTGGTGATGGCTCTTTGCTTTATTGTATTATCCCTGTACAAGTGGTGTCTGCCAAGCAATTGTGGGCTAAGGAAGATATCCATGCAAATGGCTTTGGTGTAGTAATTACACCAGTTTGGTGTAGTAATTAAGATGCTGGCCCCAAAACCAGCAAGCAGCATGTGAATTCTAGTCCCACCTTAGGCATAAAAGTCAGCTTGGGTGACTTTGAACCATCATCAGGAGATTGTAAGTTCTAGTCCAGCCTTAGAAACAAAAAACGGCGAACAACTAGTGGGTATTAGTTCTGCCTTAGGCCTGAAAGTAGGTTGGGGAACTTTGGGGAGGAAAATAGGAAGAGTTATTTATACAAAGCAATGAAAAGGCAGGATAAAAATTAAATGAAAAGGAGTTCAGCAGTAATTCTCCATTCTCTGTTGCAACCACCCTTCTAGGAAAAGAAGCTTTGCAAAGAGAAAATACCAGTCTGTCTTTTATCTGCTGATAATAAGGCAGTTTGGGTATGTAAATCTAAAAAGGAACTTTGTTTGAAGAATTAAAGCTTTAAAAATATAACAACAGTTTGGACCAAAATCATGAAAATGCTCATCAGATTGTTGAGGAGGAGACTTCTTATTTTAGATGTTGCCATGGAAAAGTGGGTGCTTCTACGAAGTTAAAAAAAAAAAAGCCCAAATATGTAATGGACTTTACTTAAGTATATTTAAGAAGTGGAAGGATTTCAGACTACACAAAGATGGGTGTAGCATTGTTGATCCATGTCGAAATAGATCACAGGATCTATAGTATATGAGACCTGAGTTATATCTCAGACTTGTGCTCTCTTTTAAATGTGGATATACTGTAATCCTGCCTTTGAAGGAGTGAAGCCTTGCCAAGAATGGAAGGGAATAAAAACAATAAAATTGAAAAAATTGGATGGGAGATGAGGGTGGGGGGGAGATAAAGCATATATAGACAAGAATCAAGTTGGCTTGAAATCTCATGGAAAACAGGAAATGAAAAGCAAGAAAGAATAACTTACGAGTGAATGGAAAATGATGATTTTTAATATGTAACCCATTAGTTTTACGGATGCTACTATTCACTCAGGGCACCATCAGACGACACGGCAAGCCAATAAGAATGGCCAACATTTTATGGTTGGTTGATTGATTTTATTTTTTGGTAGATATAGGTTGTCCTTAACCTACACGTATTCATTTACTGTATGTTTGAAATTACAACGGCACTGAAAACAACACTGTGATTGGTCTTTGCAGTAATGACTATCGTGTGATCAAAATTTGGGCACTTGACAACTAGCATGTGTTTTGCAACAGTTGCAGCATCCAGGGGTCACACCAGAGGTGGTATTCAGCCAGTTCTGACCAGTTCTGGAGAACCGGTAGTGGAAATTTTGAGTAGTTCGGAGAACTGAAAAATATCACCTCTGACTGGCCCCATCTATTCTCTGCCTCCCATCAAGTCCCAGCTGATTGGGTCTTCTTTAGTTGCTCTGCACAGGAGAACGAAGCTGGAAAGCAGGTTAGTGGGGTGGGGAGGGAATGGGATTTTACAGTATCCTTCCCTTGCCACGCCCACCAAGCCACACCACACCCACCAAGCCACACCCACAGAACCAGTCAAAAAAATTTTAATCCCACCACTTGGTCACACAATCTCTTTTTGTGACCTTCCCAAACAGTTTCTGACAACCAGAGCCAATAGGAAGAAGCCAGATTCACCTAACAACTCTAGTGATTTTGCTTAATAACTGGCAAAAGAGACTGTAAAATTGGGTATGACTTACTTAACAATCACCTTGCTTAGCAATAGAAATTCTGGTCCCAGCTGTGCTCACAATTTAAGGACAACTTGTAGTGATGGTAGAAAGAATGTGAACCAATCACAATCATGTTCAATTACATTATCAACATGCCTGCAGGCATTTTAAAAGGACTGGGTCCAAGAGAGGTGCTTCAGTCTCCCACTGCTTTAAAGGACAGGAGAAGAGTTAATCATAAACCAATTCCCCTACCCAGGTATGGCTGAATTATAGTACATTCTTCAGAAAAAAGGATTTGGAACAGAGGCTTTGAAATGCACAAGAGAAATGCACACTGCCCTTTTTAAAGCAACTGCATCTTATTCAAGCTTCTGCAAAGCCTGGGAAGTATGTATCAGGCTCCAGAAGTCAAGAAAGACACACACTATTACTTTTAAACGGTTTCCTTTATTGTTCCTCACACATAGGCAGTAATATTGCCCAACTATAAAGCAACCACTTACATCATTAAAGATATATTCTGATAATTGCTA